TCCTGCAAGGGTTTCATTAGTAATTCCTTAAAAACAAATAGCAGAATATGATCCTTTTTTTCTCCCTGATTAAATGACAACTTTTAAAAACATCCTTATATAGTCATGTAAAAACTTCCCTGATTAAATGACAACTTTTAAAAACAGCCTTATATAATTATGTAAAAACTTAATTACATTTTTAATTGAGTGTATGAAGAAGATGTCATGCAGCATTAATAATGCTAACTTGATTTATGGTGCCTAGCTACTTGTGATTTGAGTGCTGCTGAGAGAGAATTAGTTTTGAAATGCTATAAAAGAACCTTAAGCCTTAAAAAACACACCATTTTTCTACCAACTAAAGAGTTAGGGCCAAGTATTTAGCAAAGGGTGAAGAATAGTAAACTATTCTATGTTTAACTAGAATAATAAGATATATAATAAATACATAATAAAATCAACTGAGGGCAGTTTGTGAGGAGACAGTTTGAGAACATTTTAGTCATAGTAGGGAATAGTTACTTCTCATGAACCCCAAAGGCTTAACACTTCTTTTTTGCCAGTCTGGCCTTTCATAGCTTTCCCCTTTTTAACTGACCTTTGCATAACCATGTTCTGTGCACATTCCAAATTAGTTTTAGTAGTTATCTACCCCAAAACACAGGTTTTATGGGTGCTGTGAGTTTTCCAGCACTGCTGTGGTGAGTTCCTTCAGTGTAGTTCCTTTGGTCCTGTCACTGTAATGGGAAGTAGCTATTTGGGGGATGCCATAGCCAACCTCTAATAGGAACTCCCACAAGAAGCTGTGGGTAAAATCATGAAGTGAAGGATATTTCAGGCAGACTTTGTTTGCAGACTATTACAGGAACCATAAGGCTTTACTTCTGCTAGGCAAGGAATGAAATTCCCCATCCACAAGATTACTTTGGAGTGATTGTATTTGCTAAACAAAAGGAGGATTATAATTATGCCTATTTTCCATCCCATGGCTATACTCCTCCACCTGCCTAATGAGAAGAGGAGATTTTCTATAGGTAGCAAGAAAGCAAAAATCTTGTTCTCCCTCCCCTGCACCCATGAAGTCTGAGGCTCCATAGGAAGCTACTTACTGTAGATGGTCTGGTGAGGAACACCATCCACATAGCCATCAGCATTGATCTGGAGATGGACACTGTTCCTCTCGGTGTCTGTGTAGAGGTGCATCAGGCGATCTCCATTCCCCCAGCTGGGATTCAGCAGTGGAGAGGAGTTGGGGAAGGCAAGGGTAGCCTTCAGGCTGCAGAGTGCCAGCAGCATGTACCCCAGGGAGCTGCAGGGACTGCCCTGTGGCATGGCTCGGCGCTCCATGGTGGGTCAGGATCTGCAGCAAGATGTGTCTCTGCTCTCCTCTCCTGCACTTGTGCCTGGAGCGTCAATCCTCAGACAGGTTCCCTTCTTCTCCACAGGGGCTTATAAAGGGCAGCAAAATGACATCACACAGGAAAACCTTCTCCACATCCTTGATTTTCTGCAAAGCAACATTTTAAGTGTCCCGAAACCTCAAGGGAAGGATCTCTGGCTAAGGTGTGTGGGGGAAAAAATGTAAGGTTTCTAAAGACAGCTCACGAAAGCTAATCATATGTTCAAATGTTATCTACAACCCTGTGACATCTGAAAGCTTCCCACGCCCCTACTGTTAGATCCAGGAAGGACAATCCACTGCACTTGAACTGAAGGGAATGACCCTTCAGACCTGAATTATCTCTTTTTTTATCCAGCCATGTTTATTCAGATTCCCACCTCCCTTTCGGTTTCCAAATCGCACTCTGATTTAGCAGAAGCACCAAATACAGCTAAAATTTTGTTGCAAATATATAAAAAACTAATATTAGGTTGTCCTGGGCCTGATTTCCTCCTTCATTATGGTGCAAATTCCACAGCAAACCTGTTGGGCTGATGCTTCTGTCACTCCATTTAAGCGAAGGGAACTGGATATGAGCACAGCTCACCTCAAATCAACTGTCACTGTTATTTCTCCTGTTTCATTTTGAGGCACCTAAATAATGTGAAGTTAACCAAACAGCTTAAAATGATGTGTAAAACATATAAGAACTGGATGTTCCTGCGTTGCACATCTGGCTGGCAGTTTTGCATGGTCATACAGCTTAGCTTGGCCAGTAGATCTGGGCCTGAATCAGACCTGAGATCTCTCATATCAGCACATTTTTATTATTCCAGGTATGGCAAGCAAGCTTGGAAAGACTGCAGAGGGACATGACCAAGCTGGAAAGTAATAAATGGACAGGGATGTAAAAAAAGTGTTCCAAGGTACAAGACCTGCTTTTCAGTTGTCCTGACAATGTTCTGTGTCTTTACAAACACATTTTCTGCTTAAAACCCCCCAAAAAGTAGTTCCATTTTTTGTACAAAAACACTGAACTAATGGGACACTGTGTATAGGGGATAACAAGTAATGGTGATAGGGATAACAAGAAATGAATAATTTTCTTTGATGAAACCTGAGTATTTTAATTGTAGCAGTATCAGGTTCAGTTACAGCCTCTAGCTGGACACAGCATGAAAAATTCTTTCATTATAAGCTGTTGAGCAGTGACATTGGCATATAATGGATTGATAGCATTAATGGACTGATACAACTGAAACTCACTGCAAAAGTGGATCTGGATTTTTTTTTATTGTTTAAAATCAGCAAAACTCTGCCAAACTCTTCTGCCACCCCTGTGTAAATCTAGAGTGTTGCATCAGTGCATATTCACCTGTGTAAATGACAGCACTTTTTAGCCAAATGGTATAAGGGTCAGACCTGAAACTGAGTAGACTGACAGAGTTTTTGTCACTGAAAGACAACACTAGGCCACAGATGTTTTTACAGGTTATAATGTCTGAAATGCTTTAATTTGAAAGACAGCTTGGCAGAGAAGGAGGGCTAATTTTTCTTCTCTTTTTGAAAGTGATATCTGTATTTACTATTGAAATTATCCACCTATATTTTCACTCTGGTATTAAAATAAATGTTTGGGGGTTTTGTTTGTTTGTTTGTTTTTATTTTGTCCCCTCTATTAGATTCTCACGGAAATGTGGATTTGGATACCTCAGGAGATGGTGCAAAAGTTTCTGCCAGAGGCACTCAGAGAATAGTGAGTCCTCTTGGAATATTTTGTGATCCTTGGAATTTGCAGTTCCTCTGGTTTGATATTTCATGTGCACCATGACTCTTCTCTGTGCCTGCCAGCATGTACTGCTCGGATCACTCTCCTGTGTCTTGGTGGCAAAGAAAACATTCTCAGAAGTTTGAAAAATTTATTCAACCTCATTTAAGCACATAGCAGTTGTAAGCAGCTGTTTCTTTTCTCTTCTATGTCAAAGAAGCTCAAAGAAGCAAAGATCTCTTTTACATGCTTAAATCGTTTGGCATTTTCAAAAGTTTCCCACAGGGTCAGCAAAACTCCAGACTTTACTAAGTGCTGTTTAAGTTGCTGGGCTAAAACAAATTTATTTAAGCCTCTGCTTGTGAGGATGTTAATTCAAATTTTGCTTTCTCATAGACTTGTTCTAAACCTATAAATTCCCACTGCATGTGTTCGTGGTTTTGTTGTTTTGAGTTTTTTTTTAACAATCCATTTCTTTTTCATTTCAGGCTGATCCATTTCTTCCTTCTGTTCATATGACACTTATCTTCTCCTCCCCCTTTAGCTGCTGATGAAATATCTAGGTGTATGAAAGCTTCTTTACTTCTTCAGCTATGTCTGTTAGTCCAAGAGAAGTTACGACAACCTTTCTTGTCTCTTATTGTTACGCTGATGCATCACCAACAACAATATTTCCACAGCTTTTACCACATATGTTGATATGGTTTTTCTAGATTTCTATATTGTTAGCTGATGCATCACCAACAACAATATTTCTGCAGCTTTTACCACCTATGTTGATATGGCTTTTCTAGATTTCTATATAGTTGTGTGGTGTTTGATGAGCTGAGATGTCTTTTCTCAGTTCTCAGCTAAGAATTAGCTGCAGAGCCTTACAGAAATTCTTGCAGAAAAAAAAAAGAATAAAATTGAACTGAATTTAAAGATCGGAAATGTTTCATATTGCCATATTTTCCACTTCCCATTGCAGGGATGCTACTCAGCCTGTGTCAGGTGCCACAGTGGTGCAGGTATCCTGCAAAGGCAGCTGGGACACAGCCTGGAGGTATCACCTATGGTGAATGTCAGAAACCAGCAAGGTAAAGTGAGGAAATTCTCACTTGAGAACAAGGTTGAGGGGAAAAGATGGATAAGACAGACCTCAGCTCTCAGGCTGAAATTTGAGAAAATCATTGATCAGCCATTGATCAGGGCTTGGAACAAGATGATCTCTAAGGTTCCTTCCAACCCAAACTATTCTATGAGTCTATGATTGATGCTCTGCCCCTTAGTGGTCTCATTCCCCTTCCTCCCTCTGCCATGGCTTTATCCCAGACCTGCTCCTGCTGCCTCTTTGCTTCAGAGGCAGCACAGCTCAGGCTAAGCCAGTTATTTTGGGTGCTCACCTGGGCCAGATGCCTCAACTGTAACACCTGTGATGCTCTGCTATGATCATTTAACTGCAAATTATACCCAAAGTTATACCCAGGAGGATCTGAGTCAGTGTCATGGGAGCAGCCTGGGGTCTGACTTTCTCCCGTTTTGACTGCTTTGTGTTTCAGCCTTAGGTCATTTTCCCATAAAAATTTACCATCTCAAGTTTGTAAAACCCTCATTTCAGCAACTGTATGTCATCCCTTGAGCTGCTGCTAGTCAAGTAGCTCCTTTCTTTCATTGCTGATAAGCTGCAGAGGACTTACAAGGGAAAGGCAAGATTTTTTTCACAAGTTTAAGATACTACAAGTAACTTGCTCCAGGTAACTTTTGCAGACCCTTTGGAAGTGCTTTGTGAACCATCAGAAATTTACAGGTTAAAAAAAGGAGTTTTCTACTCAATATAATGGATTTGCCTTCCAGGATTCTCCTACGAGTCAAACTACACGTTCCCTCACAGTGCTGACCTACCTTTCATCACGTAGGAGCACTTGCAGCTCTCTTGCTTAATAAAGTGTATTGATTTATATTTAAACAGGTGTGTGGCTTGCCCTTTTGCAGAATTTTGTGCTATCTGGGTGTCTGTGCTGGCCTTAGGAAGCCTCTTGTTCTCTGCTGCTTCAAAGATCACGAGGCAGTTTGAGTAGACAGATTTAATAACTTTCTTTGCATTGCATCTCTTCAAAAGAGGTCACAGAAACCAGGGGCCCTTCCCTCTGCCTCCTCTTCCTTAAAATCACTGTAACAGCTGGCTCTGGGACAATCACATCTTCAGCATTGGAAGTACAAGGGTGGAGTGCCTCTCCAGGAGTTATTCTAGGAATAATGACGCACTAAGCCAAGGGTATGTACAGTGGATGCTCTGTGTGTGTGTGTGTGTGCATAAGGCTCTGCCACAGACTTTACCCAGTGTTGTTAAACACATCCTGAGTGACCTTATTTGGATGTCCCATTCTTGTCACACTGCCCACGACTAAAGAAAACATCCTGGCTAAGTTCACCTACGTGAAACAAATGAGGTAAGCACAGCCCACTGGGTTTGGGACCGCAGTGTGTACTAGCAGTTTCTGCAATGTGCTTGCTCTAACAAACTGAAATGAAGGGCCTCATTCCTCCTCCAGCTGAAATCCTTGGCAGAGCTCCCAGTCAAAGCAGAACCAGTCCCTAAAAGGTTTTGTTTTCTGAACAGTGTTTCTGTCATTTTAAAGGGTCTGAATTTTCTTAGGTATTGTGGAAGACAGAGCAGTTGCAATCTGTGAGGAGAGCTGCTGATACCCTAAATTTCATAGACTCATCAAACCACGAAATGATTGGGGTGGGAAGGGACCTTAAAGATCATCTAGTTCCCCCCCCTGCCATGGGCAGGGACACCTTCCACTAGAAAAGGTTGCTCAGAGCCCCATCCAACCTGGCCTTGAACACTGCCAGGGATGGAGCAGCCACAGCTTCTCTGGGCAACCTGTGCCAGTGTCTCACCACCCTCACAGGAAAGAAAATCTTCCTGATATCGAATCTAAACCCACCCTCTGTCAGTGTGAAGCCATTGCCCCTTGTCCTGTCACTCCAGGCCCTTGTAAATAGTCTCTCTCCATCTTCCTTGCAGGTTCCCTTCAGGTACTGGAAGGCTGCAAAATGTTGTGTGTTGGTGAGGTGGCATGGAAGGGCTGAAGCTTATCTGTCTAGATTCTGAAATCTGTCCTGTGCTACACTTTGTCTGTCACTGGCATACCCAGGTCTGCTGACCTGCCTGCACAGGTAGTGTGTCCTCTC